CGAGCCGCTGCGCCGAGAGGCGGGCCGCGGCGTCGGCCTCCCAGCGGGCCGCCTTGAGCGCCTTGTCGGCCTCGCGCGCCTCAGCTACGGCTGCCTGCGAGGCGGGGCCGCATGCGGGAGTGCGCTCGGGAGCCGCCGCGCCGACAGGCAGCCTCTTACTGCCCACGAAGCACCAGCGGGTGGTCTCGCCTCGGCTGCCGCCACGTCATTTGGTGAAGTGAAACTTGATGGCGTTCCCCCAACCGTCTCTGCATGCATGCAGGTCACCCATGCATACATACATACGCGTGTCACCCACCTCTGCCCGCTTGAGCTGCACCAGCTCCCGCGTGTGCGCCGCCTCGGCCTCCGCCTCGCGCTGGGCTGCCAGCTCCCGCGCGACAGACGCCTCGTGCCGCGCCGCCTCCGCCTGGCACAAGTCAGTCGATGACATGTGTGTGCTGCGCTCAACCCGGCCGCGTTTTGAAGCGCTGCTATGTCCGCCCAGCCCCCCAATCCAGGTGGCCGCCGTGCAAAATGGAGCGCAGCGCCGTCGGCATGCGCCGCGCCCGCCAAAATGGATGCCAGCAGGTCCCCTCCCTGCGCACCTGCCCGCGCCACTTCTGCTCCAACTCCTGGCCCTGCAGCAGGAAGCCCGCGGACAGCTCCCGCCGCTGACGCTCCACCTCCTCCTCCGCCTCCGCCAGCGCGCGCTGCGCATCAACCCCACAAAGTCATTACCGGATGTTGATGCTGATGCATATGCTGATATGCAGGTGCACGCATGTATGCAAGCATGGCCATTTGTTACTGTAAGGTGCACCTCAAACAGCTACGCAAACAACTTCTCTGTGCAGCATCTCAAAACACAACTTGACATGTGACATCTGCTCGGCTTCGACACAGCAAGATAATGCGGCTCCTCCGACCGCACCTGCAGCGCCCGCTGGTGCCCTGCCGCGTCCTCCCGCTGCTTGAGCAGCGCCGCTGCGTGCTCCAGCTTGGCAGCCTCCAGCCGCTGCTGCAGCTCCTCGCGCTGGGAGCGCCACGCGCGCTCCGACTCGCGCGTGCGGTCGCGCTCCAGCTTGGCGTCTGCGCGCGACGCCAGCCGTCCGACCCGGGAGCGGCGGCAGCAGTCTAAGCCTTCGACAGGGCAGGTTTCTGGCCCTTTGCTGAGCTGTGCAGCAGAGCTGGCGAGTTCCTGCACGCTGCCACGAATCCCAATCCACCCAGCTGGTGCGGGCACGACTGTAGGCAGCTGGCAGGGGCAGGGTCACTCATCAGCCGCACGGGCCAGCCGCTGTGCACCTGCAGGCCGCACATGCTCAATAGTCCAGACTGTGGCCACCCCGCCCCGTCCCCGCCCCTACCCACCGCTGTGCGCCTGCGCCAGCGCAGACCGCAGCTGCAGCACCATGGCCGCTTTGGCGCCCGTCTCTGCCTCCAGCTGCGCCGTGTTTGCGTCGTACCGCTCCAGCTCGGCGTCCCGCTCCGCCAGCAGCTGCAGATTGAACTTGAAGTCGCTTTTGAGCTCCTCCAACTGAGCGCGCAGCTGCGCGTTGGCGCCACGCGCCTCGGATAGCTGCGGCGTCAGCAAGGGGGGGCAACACGTATTGTACTTGGTTGAGCGTCCGCCCTTGGCACCACAGGAGTCAGCATACGAGCCTGGTGTTGTTTGCGGCTGTGAGATTCGTTGTTGCTCAGTGGTGCTCCCACTTGCTTTGATTTTGTGCTACGCCTCACAGCCACGCCGTGACGCCACAGGATGGGGCGCAAACCTGGTGCTCGAGCGCCTTCAGCGCTGTCTCGCGCAGCTGCTGCACCTCCTGCTCCTTGACATGGAGCTCGAGCCGGGCCGTGTCCACAGTTGTTGCGGTGTCCGGCTGCAGCTGGCTGCTAGGCCGTGCTGCTACCTGCTGCATCGCAGGGTGCACCAGTGCCCGCCCAGGCGAAGAGGCGGTGCTGGCACCGCCCGGGCTGATACGCTCCATGTCTCTGCACACGCGTCACATGGACTTGCGTCCTTGCGATAGCAGCATATTCATGATGCCATGTGACATTTCACGGCCAGGAAAGGTGTGGTGTCGCAGCTGCAAGCCGTTTGCTGAATCAACAATGTGATCTCGGCAAAGCTGACGGTGTGGCTGCAAGATGTGTAATGAGTGCCATATTTCGTCAATGGAGCCTCCTCAACGCGCGGACAAATCAGTCAAATTATCAAAATGACCCGATGGCTCCACAGAAGTGCCGTATGGCGTATGCATCGATCAAAGCTCACATGCAAGTACTGCATCATCTAGGTTACCAATCCATTGACACACCCTTAGTCCGTGATTGATCTGGACACTTAGCCTTCCCGCTTGCCGGTTGCCGCGGCCTCAGGCGCCGAAAACCACCGATTGGAGCCTCCTTATTGAACTCTTTCAAATCGTGTAGATCTTGGCCTCCATGGTGCTGCTTCACTTCAAGGTGTGCCGCCGCGTACTGGGCCAGGCGGACTGTGTGCATGCCTCCGCAGCAGCACAGGCGCGGCGACTGTCGTGGGCGCCGTAGCCTTCAGACCCACAACAAATCCCACCACGCACCCTCCTCAGAACTCTGAGACCGACCAATTTCTGTTTGAGACGAGCGTTGCGCTGCCCGCACGCGACGTATCGCGTGACCTGGCAGACGTGCACAACCTGCGCCACCGCATCACGCGGCTCAAGCTAGAGGGCGGAGAGCTGGCCAAATACGGGCCCGCGAAAGCACCTGACAGGCAGGGCATCGACAAGTTTGAGGAGGGCCATGAGGCGCGCGAGCGTGGGCCCCACTACTGCATGGACCCCACAGGGCGGCGCAGCGGCGAGGGTGAGCAAAGCCGAGGGCTGCATGCAGTACAGGTGCACGCATGTTTGCGACGCCGCAGACTGGTTGCACGTAGCACGGGCTTATTTCCATGCCAGCAGCCCGCTGGGGCTATGCGGCGCAACATGAGGGTCCTCCCCTGGCTGGTCTGTGGCCCTGCCAGCTTGCGACCCCGAAGTCGCCCAGAAGCTGCTCAAGGAGCTGGACGATGCTGAGGCTGCCGCATCCAAGGTACGCTGGAATAAGGCATCTGCCGTGCACACTTGCATCGGACGATACACAGTGACACCTTTACAAGGCTTGCGCGATAATGCATGTGCGCGCTGCGTGCATGATGCAGGGAGTCAGCCAGTCACATGACCCTCTCGGCTGCCTACACACCACCTTCCCCGCCCGCAGGACCGTGTGTTGCGCAAGGAGCCCTTGACCAAGGCGGCCCTGCTGGCGGCGATTGACAACATCCGCGGCGCGGTGCGGGCTTCCCACAAGCCCGACGGCAGGGGTGGAGGGCCGGGGTGCAGTCGGGCACCGCACCTTGCACGTGCACGCAGTGTGTGAGACACGGCGGCGGATATGCAAGTCGACTGCACAAGACCTCTGCCCACTTGTTTCAGTACTGCTGAGGCTGTATGGCCCAGGTTGGCTCATGCCACTGCACTCCACACCCCACAAACCCGAACCCCAGGTGATGATCTGTTACCCGATGGGGCTCCCAGAGTGGGACTTTGTGCGGCAGTGCCTGGAGGGGAGGGAGGACCTCAGCGGCTCGGACGTGAGCGCCCCGCAACACCACCAGCTTACTTTGGCACCGCGTTTCAAGGGGATTCAGCAGGGGCGGGGCTTGCTTGCGCCTGCCTATTAATACGATGGAGCTGTGACAAGGAAGAATGGGGATCAACAGCAGACACCTCTTCGGGATGCTGACTGGCGATCCCATTATCCACATCCAAACGCCAAATTGCACCAGTTTGGTGGCAAGGATCTGGACCCGGAGACGTGCCAGCTCTGGTTTGCGTCGCGCGCGCTGGCGGCGGACAGGCCGCTGTCGGACGCGCTGGGCCGCAACGAGCGCACCCGGGCGGTGGTGAAGGCCACGAAGAAGGGCGCGGGCGCGCCCGCGCGGGAGCCGGTGAGCACGGCCCCCTGCTCGGGTGGCGAGCTGCTGATTCTGCATCCTGCGGGTTTCGCGGGCGGTCCCTACCTCCGCAGGAATTCCCCTCGCCGTTTCCAATATGCACAGACACGCGGGCGGTTGAGGTGGCATGGGAGCACCTGCTGAGGCTGTGTCACTGAATGGCATCCTGGCCACCACAATGACATCACAATGACGTCATCCCACCGTGTACGCAGGCTGTCGACGCGGACACCCAGAAAGCGATGCTGGCCTGGTACTACAAGAAGCAGGAGCAGCAGAAGGCAGGCGGGCCCGCGGGCTAGTCTGCGGGGACTTTGGCGCCTGGCGGCGCTCCAGTTGCCCGCGGCAGCTTCCAGTTTTCCTAGCAGCTAACTGGTGGCTTGACCCAGGGCTCACTTGCAGCAGCAGGTTGCACATGAGTGCGAGACACGGTGCACAGCCGCCGCCTTCTCACCCAGGCCATCCCACACCCCTCATCAACGTCCTGCCGCAGGCGCTTGCTGCTGACGAGGACGACGCGTACTCGCGATCCGCATGGGCCGACCCCGGAGCCCTGAAGCAGCACTTTGCCGGCGTGGGCAGCGTGCGCATCCCGCGATGACGGAGCAAGCATTCGATTGGAAAGCAGGGGCACAGGCAGGCCTGTGAAGAGTGATGCGTGCACAGAGACCGTTATTCAACAGGCCGAGTTTGGCCGCGGCCTCCGCTTGCTTATGTCTTGCAACCTCAACACCAGCCGTCGCACCAGGTGTAGGGACCACGGGTTCTTGGGCAGCATGTGGGTGGCCCGATCAGCTTTAGGTTCCCCTTGGTGCAGGTCGCGGCCTGGCTGCTGTGCCTGTCTTGCCAGGCGCCCTTGAGATCGCCTTTGCGGTCCTGGCAGGTCGATTCAAATGCAGAGCTGATGAGTCGTGCTACAGGTGCCAAATTTACACACACGAGTTCATTTTCAGACACTCAAATAGACACCAGCCTCTCAAAACCAAAAACAGTTGAGGAACCCAACCCCAAGGGCCTGGTGGAAAGGAGGCCTGGGGTCAGGGGGCCCAGCAGCACCCAGCAGCACCCAGCCAGCTGGGCACTGACAACAGCCCGCCAATCCAGCAGCGTGGCGCCACCGGGAGTGCGGCCTCCCCAAATCAGCCCAACAACCTGCAAGCTACGGCATGGCGGCCGCCGGCGTTGCGCCGCCGCGAGAGAGTGCACCGTGCCAGCGCCCTGCCCTCACGACCCCTCGCCGCAGCGCCCACCCCGGGGGGTGCGTGTACGTGCGCGGGCGCCGTTGGACGCATGCCGGCAGGGCGCCGCCAATTTATCGGCCGCCCCGCACTGCGCAGCGCATCCGGCGTGCGCCCGGGGCGGGTCCGTGACGCCGCAATCTGGGATTCTCTGCTTAGTTGGCCGAGGCGGGGACGACCGACTCGGACGTGATGCGCTCGTACACCTCACGCACCTGGAGGGGGGGAGGCGGATGAGTTGCGCGAGGTTTGGTGAGCTTTTGAATGTCTAGTGGTGGGATCTCGGCCTCATGGCTTCGTGTGAGGGTTGAAACAGCCCCCCACCGGAACCCTAAAAGCGGGCGCGCCCACCTTGAGGCCGATGATGGTCTGCAGCAGGCCGGTGCCGTTGTTGGAGCCCGGGAAGCTGCTGTTCTTGAGCATCTGCTGGGTGATCTCGCCGTAGAACTTGGCGCTGGTGTTGGACAGGTGGCTCTCCACGTAGATCAGCTCCTCCAGCTTGTCGAACTGGCCGTCCATCTCCAGCACGCTCACGTCCTCGCCGTACCTGGAGGCGGGGTCAGCGGTGAGTTTGGATGGCGACGTGAGTTAGTGGGTGGGGCGGTGGAAGACGTGAGGGTCGGGGCGGCGCGGCGCAGGCATCCGCCAGGCCTCATCAGTCGCAGCTGCGTCAGCCATGAACGCGCCCTGATGCCAGGCTCCAGTCAGCGCGGGCAGAGTGCCGCCGCACTCCTGTGTGGCTCTCCTCGCAGCCGCGCCGACCTCGCTCTGTCAGTGGACACCCCTGCTACCGGCACCGGCCCACCGCATCCCCGCCCTGTGCGCACCAGGTGTCGGGGCCGTAGTAGAACTTGATGCCGGGGAACGAGCACGTGAGCTTGCGGCCGCAGGGGATCCAGGAGATGGTGGAGCCCTCGTCGAAGAGGTACACGGGGTCGAACAGCTTCTTGCCCTCCTTCTGGATGAGGCGCACGCGCAGGATCTTGCCCTCATCATCGGGCACCAGCTGGGTCGGCAGCACCTGGGGCGGGTGGCGGGTGGCCGGGGCGGGGCGTGGGACGAGGGTGTTGG